ATCTGAGCGAATGCTTCCCACTTCCTCTTCTCCATTCACCGCTGTCTCTACCACAGCACACAGCTGATGCAATACCATCAGCCACTCACACCTCTGATGTCACACCCTCGGATGCCTTTGCCAGATACTTTGCAAATAAGCAAGAAGAAAAGTAACCATATGCCATCAAAAGGTAGATTGAGATGAAAAGAAGAAAATGTTGGAGGGAGAGAATTTGTTGGAGGAGGGGTCACTTGTTTGTTCCTGGCTGCTTAGCCCCGAAATAGTCACATAGAAACTGTTTTAATTAAGTCACTGCTTGACCCATTAGCTCTAGCTTCCGATTGGCTAACTCTTACATCTTAATTTAACCCGTCTCCATTAATCTGTGCATCACCACGAGATCTTGGCCTACCAGCAAAGTTTCGGCTCGTCTGTCTCCAGCAACAGCTCCATGGCTTCTCTCTGACTCTGCCTTTCTCTCTCCCCGTCTAGCTCTGTTCTCCTATAGCTCTGCTATAGGCCCAAATCAGTTCCTTTATTAACCAATGATATTCACAGCATACAGAGGGGAATCCCACATCAGGAAAACATGCAGGGGCTGCGTCACACCTCGGATGTTGTTCACACCAATAGTTGCGTCCAGTGGACCTTCTCACTTCCTCACTCTCTGTCCAGCTTGACAGGCATTGCACACAGCAGCCACTTCCTCCTCCGTGCGGCACGCTCTCTCTCCTGGCCTTCTGCAGTGCTGTGCAAGCCCCTCACCTCTCTGGCTCTTCCCCCGGTCTCTCTGTGTATGCCTGTCTGAAAGGCAGGCCCAGTAAATTGGATCTATTTTCCCATCAATGACCGATCGATCTTTCTAGAGCGTTTTCCTAATACTCTAACGAGTGTCTTGAAAGCTCTCGCCTTTGTGCGCATGCCTCTGTCTTCCTGTCACCATCTTCTTCTTTCGTGATGCTTCCTTCACCTTCACTTCCCCCGGCATTGAGGAGCTTCTCCTTGCAGGCCTCTCTTCCCTCCTCAGACCTGGCTCAGGTGCTGACTTGGGGTCCCTTCTGGGTACCTCGTCCTTTCCTGTGATATAACTCACCCACTACATCGTAATCGTCACAATTATGTTTTCTTCTCTTTGTCTCAATCTACCTTTTGATGGCATATTGGTCACTTCCCTTATTGCTGACCAAAGTATCTGGCAAAGGCATCTTAAGGAAGGGTCTGTTTGGGCTTACGGTTTGAGGGCGTAGCCTAGCATGGCGGGAAGTCACGACGTCAGAAGGGTGAGGTGGCTGATCACATCGCATCCTTACTCAGGAAGCAGAGACAACCGTTCGTGCCGAGTCCACAGCATGCACAATACCTCATTGTGTCTGCTCCCTGTCCCTGGTGGAATGGCTGGGTCACCCAGCAGGGTGGACATACGATCAATAAAAATTAAAAAAAAATTAAAAAAGTTGTTATTCCAGTGGTCTGGGAGTTAATGACCTTAATCTGTAATGCTGTGTGTTGTCAGGAATGAGGCCAGGCAAGTTGCCTTCTCTGAAAGCTGGGCGGAGGAGAGCCACATCAGGGACCACACTGCAGGTGTGAGCTTTCTGAGTTGGAGAGGAGGTCTGTGCCTTAGAGAGCTGGGGCTGTATAGACTTTCCTCAACAGAGAGCTATTGCCAATACCAGGCAGGAAAGCGGAAGTGTAACATTTCTTATCTGCACCTACATTTACTGGATTCTCAAGCATCTGCTTTTGTTTAGAGGAAAACAAAGCAGCAAACTTGAATTCTCCCATTTAAGGAATTTAGTTCCTTCTGGCTTAAAAGAGTCACAGGCTCTTCTGAGTCATATCCTGGCTCTTCTAGACCAGTGGTTCTCAACCTGTGGGTCGCGGCCCTTTCACAGGCGTCGCCCAAGACACCCAGAAAACACCTATATTTACATATGATTCATAACAGCAAGATTACAGTTATGAAGTAGCAATGAAAATCATGTTATGGTTGGGGGTCACCACAACACGGGGGTCACAGTGTTAGGAAGGTCGAGAACCACTGGGCTAGATAAATGTGCAGTTGAAGTCTTCCATGTTCACCCCTTTCTCTGGCCGCAGTGGGAAGTGTGTGAGGATGAGGCAAATACCACACAACTCTGCCCATCTGTGACAAGCAGATCTTTTTGAGGTGCAGAGTAGTACCTGGGGGCTGTGAAGAACAGGGAGGAAGAGAGGGACCTGGAAAGCTTGATCAGAAGGTGTAGTTATAAAGGAGCAAGAAGTTCTGGGGCACAAGGACACAGCAGGGGGACTGTATATAACAATGTATTATCCAGTCAGACATGATGGCTCACACTTGTAATTCCAGCACTTTTGAAGGTGAGGCAGGAGGATTGCCACGAGTTTGAGGCTGGTATGGGAACATAGTAGGTTCCAGGTCAGCCTGAGCTAAAAAGGGAGACTCTCTCTCTAAACCAAAGCAAAACAAATGTGTTATACATTTTTAAAAGTTAAAAGTATTTTGAAAAATTTTACCACCAAGAAAGGGTATTTAAATGTTTGATTTAAATATTATACAATGTATAGAACAAGGATTATCTTTTTATCAGCTATGATTTCCATATTTTTATGCTCAGTTAAAATAATTTTATTAAGAAAAATAATCTCAGCCAGGCGGTGGTGGCGTACCCCTTTAATCTGGCACTCAGAAGGCAGAGGCAAGTGGATGTCTAAGAGTTCGAGGACAGCCTGGTCTATAGACTGTGTTCCGGGACAGACTCCAAAGCTACACAGAGAAACCTAGTCTCAAAAAACCAATCATCATCATCATCATCATCATCATCATCATCTTCTTCTTCTTCTTCATCATCATCCCTTCAGGGAAAAATATGATGGGGAGACTCGGTGGTCCTTGGGTCTTCCTGTGTCCACTGTAGGTCACTGCTCAGAGTCCTCCCTTGCTGACCCACCCCCTTCTGGGTTCTTAAGGTCATTGATGCTGCCTTTCCACCTAACCTTTGCTTGTAACTTCCACGCTTAGGAGACTTGTAAACAGTGTCTCCTGGTGCACACACACGTAAACAAATCTGAGTTTACCGCAGAGCAGAATGGGGAAACATTCAAGTCTCTGTGGGGCACTTGAGGGCATAGAATGTGGGAGGGGCCCCAAAGAGAGCACCTTCAGCGTGCTAATGGGCAGTGATTTTATGATGGTTCTCTGATGTATCCCATCCAGCTTTTGCCTGTAGCTTGGGCCACAGGCAGCATCTTGGAGAGAGCAGTCTTAAATCCATAGCCAACCGTGTGAGTGATTCTCAGGCCTGACCATTGCCTCTCACCACTTCACCTCTTGGACTCCTAGCTTGCTGTGTTCCTGCTGTTTTCTTGAAGGGGTTTGACTTATATCTGAGTGGGCATGGGAGGTACCCAGAACATCTCTCTCCAGAACCTAAATCATGTTACTCCTTCCTTGTCTGGCCCAGCGAGATTTTTGTTTCCACCCTGCCTAGTGTGAAGGAGCCTTACGTTATATTTTGCTCTCTCCACTGGATATGTCCTGGCCCGTGGCACTGTGACTTAAGCCAGCTTTCCAATGCAGTGAACAATGGTGTCCTTCAGTGCAGAAACCTCCAGGATGGGATGATACATCGCAAAGCCACCTTCCTTTCCTTAAGCGCTTTAAGGCAGTCCTCTACGCTTAAATCTGTGATTCAAAGCTTAGCTCTGGGAGCCCCAGGGAAGTGCTTTTTTTTTTCCTCTAGTCTTGGTTATAGCTTTTACCACATTGTTCTAGTGTGGACACTGAAATACCTACTTAGGACAAGGCATGGTGGTAGCCCCAGCACTCAGGAGGATGACAAGTTTGAAAAAAGCCTAGGCTACAATGTAATAAGTCTCTGTCTAAATGAATAAATATAAACAAAAGAAAGCAAAGATGTAAAAAGGATTTTTTAATCAGGAGAAATAAAAATGTTTTAGAATAAACATTTTAGGGCCAGTAAGATGGCTCAGTGGGTGAAGGCGCTTGCAGTACAAACCTAATGACCTAAGTTCCATCCCCAGAACCCACATAAAAGTGGATGAAGAAAACTGGCTCCACAAAGTTGTCCTCTGACTACCACATGATACATTACACATACCCCCCACATATCATAAAACACACATAAATATAGTGATAATAATAAAAACATTAAAAATAAATGTTTAAAATCACATGGCACCACCAGTCCACCGAGTTGCCTTGGCTAGTGCCCTCTCCTGGCATATACCAGTGATTACCAGATGCCCGTGTCATTGATGACATAGAATTACAAAACGCTGGTGCCTGGGAGACAGCTTAGTAGGTAAGACTGTTTTTTTTGTTGACAGCCTGAGTTCAAATCCCCAGCACTCAAGTTACAGGTCCAACCTGACTGCATGAGCCTGTAGTGTTAGAACTGGTGAGGAGAGACACTTGATTCCTGAGAGCTTGCTGGCCTTAGGAGTCAATTTAGGTGAAACAAACTTCAGCCTCAATGAGAGACCCTCTCTCAAGATACCCAGCCTCCTGTTCTGGCCCCAGTATGCCCATTCACAGGTGTGTTCAGCAGCACACTCAGGAAAAAGGTTGGCCCGAGACATCTATATTCCTCTCCAGCTTGTCTTACAACGGCCCATGTCTTCTCTCTGGTGTGGACTTGGTTTAAGGCAGAGAATGAACAGTGCCTCTCACCTTGGCCTGAAGAGCAATCCCAGGCTCACCTGCAGACCTCACCCTGCTCTGCATTGATGGACGGCAGAGTTTGTCAGGAGTGACGGAGCATACCCACTATTGTCGTTACTATGGGATTTTAAACACTTCTGTCTGATACTTCACGCTGGTCCTTGGACAAGATACTCGGCTTGCTCTGAGGGTAGCTATGCGTCATGGGGACGGGGCAGCAGATTTGGACAGTGAGGACAAGAGCACAATAGTGCTGTTTCTCCTTCATCTGCAGTCTTTGGACTCAAGCTTCTTCCTCCCTGTCTGCTTTGTCACCTCTTCTCCGCATCTGTAGATGGGGTGGCGGCCTTCCGTGCCTTCTTGAAGACGGAGTTCAGCGAGGAGAACCTGGAGTTCTGGCTGGCCTGCGAGGAGTTCAAGAAGACCAGGTCGACTGCAAAGCTGGTCTCCAAGGCCCACAGGATCTTTGAGGAGTTCGTGGATGTGCAGGCCCCACGGGAGGTATGTTGGGCATGGCAATTGTCCCCTGAGGTCTTGGAGGGCACCTGAGCCAAGTCCCCAGGATTTCCTCCTACCCCTGGTGGAGCTGATGAGAAAGGGGTAGCTTTGGAGAGGTGAAAGACCAGAGTTTTCAGGAAAGGAGTGTTTTTGTTGTCTGCCCGACCCGTGTTACCCAGGCTGTGTTGCCGCAATGATTTCACAAGGGTAAATTCCCTGGAGCCTGTGTCTGTTTTCCTATTAAAAGCAGCCCAGGGGTGGCTGAAATAACTCATTGAGTAAAGACACCTGCTGCCGAGCCAGGTGACCTGAGTCTGATCTCTACACCCACGTGATAGAGGAGAAAAATGATTCGTGTGAATTGTCCTCTGACCTGTCCCCTAACAAACAAGCATGCAATAAAAGGTTTTAAGGGCAGCATAGCGTAAGGGAGTAAGAACCCTCTTTTAAAGGATTTTGCTAGCCGTCTCTGTCCTGCCACTATGTGCGACCATCCTGAATTCAATCTCCCTGAGTCTCATTTTCCCCAGTGTAGGAGAGGATAATGCCACACCTTTCAGGGCTACTCTAAGTGTTAGAGATGAAGCACCCACTGAGTGTTTGCCGTTGCTCATCAATGAATATTTATAGTCACTTTCATTGCCGTATTATAATTATGTTTAAGTGTTCTGAGTTTTAATACAGCATGTCCCTAGGAAGGGTTTAACCGATGAATGGTTTGCTATCTGTATTTAGGTGTAACTTTGACTTGGGTTGTGAGATCTTTACAAGCTGGGTGGAATGCTATTGGCCTCTATATGGTGACATATGGAGAGATGTATGTTTACTGGGGTCTGTCTATATTCGGCATCCATTGACCTTGGTGGTTAAGAAGAGAGGGAAAGCTTAGGAGAGCCTTCATTAACAACTGGCTTGAAATTCAACTCACTGTGGTATGAAGATTCTTGATTAGGATCTGTCGATTTGAGGATTATTGCCATGGTTCTAGTACTAATCCGCCTGCTTTAGATAAGCTTTGTATTATTATTATCATTATTATTATTATCATTATTATTATTATTATTATTATTATTATTATTATTGAGGCATGGTCTCTTTACATAATACTGGCTGTCCTGGCACTCACTATGCAGACCCAGGCTGGGCTTGAACTCACAGAGATCCCCCTGCCTCTGCCTCCTAAGTGCTGGGATTAAAAGCATGTGCCACCAAACCCAGCTGGTCTCTTTTCTCTTCACTCACCTTATTTTCAATTTAAGACTGTTGGGACTTCAGACTCCTGCTGGAATCCCAAGGAACAAACCCCATAAAATCAGTTTGAGAAGCATCCATGACCCTAAAGTTGTGAAATACCACCATTGGCGGTTGTCCCATAGCTTGGACCCACTGTCTAGTAGGTGCCTTGGCCTCCGGAGGTCTGTAACCTTGCTCTCTCTGTTTGTATCTCCAGGTGAATATCGATTTCCAGACCCGAGAAGCGACGAGGAAGAACATGCAGGAACCATCCCTGACTTGTTTTGACCAAGCGCAGGGCAAAGTACACAGTCTCATGGAGAAAGACTCTTACCCCAGGTTTCTGAGGTCCAAAATGTACTTAGATCTGCTGTCCCAAAGCCAGAGAAGGCTCAGTTAGACCTCAGATGGGGACTCTTGGGAGTTGTTGGCTTTCCCTTCCCCTTGCTGCCAAGACCATATTCTAATGTGAAACGCCCTAAGTGTTCAAAGGCGCTGGGGCTTGAGGTGGGAGGCTGGGGGTGACCAGGGAATGAAGGGCTGTTCCAAAGTATGACCCAGCTTCTGGAGCTGGGACGCTCTTCCATTTACCCAGATTTATGTTTTGGTTAGAGGTAGCAGCGCTGCTGACATCCATCTCTGGGTGGGCCAGTACCTGGCCCTTCATACGCCTTCCTTCCGTCATCTCCACTGAGAAGGCAGATTCACTGTGCCGGGCTATTTGTAAATAATGCAAACGCAGTTCCCATCACCTCCACACCATGCCCTCTCCAGCAGGATTCCTGATCTTCATCTGGTCCTCTACCCAAGGGAGGAGTAGCTAGAAGACTCAGGTTCTCACCTGGGATTTGCGATCACGAACCGGTGGTCCAACCTGAGTAACTGGACCTCACAGTTTAGAAGAGAGGTCTCTTGGAAATTTCAGATTCCTAGCACCATTGACAGGTGACCTCTGACAAAGGACGTATTCCCTGGAGTTGACGGTGTCTTCCATCTCCACAGGACCACTATGGGAGGAGTCTGGGGTCCCTGCTTAGCCTAAGGAATTCAATGAACTTCCCTACACTTGCAGCTCTAGAGAGGGTCTTGGGAGACTCCCCCCCCCATGACTTCTGAGTGGAGCTGTTTGAAAGAGAGACCTCGAGAATCTTCCCCAATTTATCGAGAACTTTTCTAGACGTGGAGTGACCAGGGAATGTAGCATCGGTGAACTTCTGTGCAATGAGCCTCTGTAGAACCTGTCTGTTGCCTAACGCGTTCTGTGCCCTCACCTCCCCATGGCGTCACCCGTCCCTGATCTCTAGGCCGAAAGGCAGTTTGGCGAAGGGAGGTGAATTCCCACAGCATGACAACCTTCCTAGTGCTCTCCTGCCATGCCACCTCCTCCTTCCATGCAGGCCATGTGAGCACAATGGGGGAGCACGGGATCCTAGGCTGCTACTCCCCTTGCAGCTGGTTTCCTGAGCACACTTCCTTAGAAAGGGTCCACTCTTGGCTATTGAGAAGTAGCTGCCTTCTTGGTCTCTGGCTTCTGGGACTAAACACGAACTGGGAAGATCACTGTGAATACCAGGCTGTGGAAATGTTCCTACAAGGCTTGTGTGGTACCCTGGGGTATCTTGGAAATGTACCTGGATACACTTTCTTGGAAGAGCCAGGAGCAGCATGGAATCTCTGTGGTTATCCAGGAGAAATCGGACCAGGAAACAGAAGACGAACCTGGAAGCTGCTGGTCTCTGGGTGGACTGGATCACAGAAAATGTGGCAGAGGCACTTGGGATAATCCACAGCTAATCAACGTGGGTTCACGGAAGAACCACAAACTTTTCAGCTTGAGCGATTGAAATAATCCATAGCCAGGCTGCCCTGGATAGCAGGTGGAGGAAGGCTGGGCTGACACTCTGCTTTTGTGGGAGCCTAGCCCTTCTGGGATATTCTAGGGTTTGAATTCTGGTCTTGGAGAATCAGTTCCTTCCTTGGTTGGAGTGGACAAGGCTAAGAAGGCCCTTGAGTCCCATCGCGTTAGTGCCAACTGCCCTCCGAGTGGCACAGTGTCATCTGTGAGTGGGTGTTGGTGTCTGTGTGTGAACCTCAAGGAGAGATAAAAAACACCTGTTTCCTAGGCCCCACACTGAAGAGACCCATGGCAGTCACAGTAAGAACTCTGAAGCTTCAGATGGCGTTCCTAGTTAGGTCAGATAGATTTCCCCACCCTGATATACAAATATTCTTAGCTAAAGCTGCCAGAGTTAATGTAATGATTAAATTCTCTAACAGGGTATTTTAAACATTGTTTACATATGAAATGTGCATCTACTGCCGATGCTACTGTCCGGTATGAGGTGCATATAAATTGGACCTGCAGTGATGAAGATGTCCTGAGGGAGGGGCTTTCTCACCACTTGCGCTACCCCAATGCAAAAAGGCTTCACATGCACTGTGTGACACCCTCATTTGGGCTAGAGTTCTTGCCAACTATTGGTGGAATGAAAGCTGCAGATGGTGATGTCACGACACCCCGGTGATGCCTTCCCACGTGGGAGGTACAAAGGACCAAGTTTGGGTATCCTGAATTCTGTAGCTAGACAAGGGCACATGAGTCTGTGTCTTTGTAGAGGAGTAGAGATTGTTCTATTTACGTGTGTGTGTGTGTGTGTGTGTGTGTGTGTGTGTACGAGAGAGGAGAGAGAGAGAGAGAGAGAGAGAGAGAGAGAGAGAGAGAGAGAGAGAGAATTGTGAGTCTTGGGTTGTACACTGCAGACATAATCTTCCCATGTGGGCAGCTTTTCACATGTCCTAGCTCCCCTGCTTCTCACAGAAGGCACTGAGTTTCTCGCTCTGTTACCTCCTCTTAGGCACGTTGGTCATGCCAGCCCAGATTTTGGTTTGTGATGAAACAGAAATGTTTACAACATCTAGAGCAATATCTGAGCATACCTCATCTCTGAACTCCTGTCTCCCAGTCCCCGCCCCTCATCTCTTCCCCCACGAGCCTCATCCACCTCCCCAGGTTGTCATCACAGATGCCACTTCATTTAATGTCTTCCTTTGCTCCAGTCATATAGAATGTGCTGATGACTGGCCCCGAACTCAGGCAAGTCCCGGCAGCAGCAGCAGGACACAGTGCTCTCTATCCCTGAGTGGCGTTCTGGTTCCGCTGAATTCACTTATTTTGGTTCTGGTTTGTGGTTTGCTGTGGCTCTTGTGGACTAAGTCGATCTCAGTCATTGACAGCTTGGGCACTCTGGATGGAATGGGGGTTACTCCTCTGTATTTATTATTAAACATGAGCTTGAATAATAGGGATCACCTTGAAAGCCCCCTTACAAATGCTAATTCCCAGGTTCCACACTCAGAGATGCTGATCCTATAGATTTAGAGAAGGAACCCATAAAGCAACATTTAAAAAGAAAAAAGACTTCTGAGTTTGTAATGGCCTGTGGGCATTGGACAAAGATGACCCAAGATGGTGGTTCTCAACCTCGCTGCTCACTAGACTTAGGATAGTTAAATCAGAGAGGTTTAGCGGGAGCCAGGTGGCAGTAGTTTTTAAATATTCCACAAGTGGTTCCAATGTGCAGATGTGGTCAGGAAACAGCTACCTAAGGAATGAAGAGGAGCAGAACTGAAGGGTAAAACACAGCAGTGGGGCAAGGCCTGAAGGCAAAAAGCAAATGACCAGGACCCCTTGCCTGCTTGGCAGCTGACTCTTGAGGGGGTTGCTTTGTGCCTCTCAGTCTGACTTGTTCCTCTGAGGGCATGTTTGGGTTTACACTACATGCACTAGTCCGTAGCATGGCATGCACGCCAAGGTGGGGAATAGGAAGGGCGCCAGGCTGAGAGCTGTTTTGCCAGGCTTCTCCTGCTTTTTTTTTTTTCCAGCGCTTACTCCAGGCTTGCCCCGTGAACCCTAACCTTGTTTGTTTGTGTCTGGTTGTTCTGTGTCAGGCTGTGCCTCTGAGTAGGGTAGCAGGAATACAGGTTGTGAGTGAGGAGTGTCTTTGTAGTGATGATCAGGATACAAGGGCTTCCAAGTTCCTCTGTGGAGGATGTTTCTTCCCAGGGAGGATCAAATCTGAGGTTCCGAGACCGCAGTAACGTATGTTTTTCCTCCTTTAAGCCCTGGCCATTTTCTCTTTAGTCCCATGTTGGTTAGGCTGCTAGTTGGCCCTATTTTCTGGTGCTTTCCCAGAACTCGCCGCTCTGAGAAACCAAAGCTGTGAAAAGTGAACGCTCTGCCCAGGTGCTTGTCCTGGACAGGGGCCCCAAGCCCCGGACAATGGAGAAACTCTGCTTTTTAGGGGAGGCTTGAGAGCTGGGGGAGGATGGGCAAGGGGGCACCTGAGGAGGAAGGGACAGGGCAGGAGAGCCCCCAGCTACTAGCATGGTTAGTTGCATCTCCGTGTCCCAGAGGGAAAGCTGAAAAGGGACACACTCATAGGCAGGATGGTCTTCTAGCAAGAACAACCCCAGAACTCCACCGACCCTGCAGAGGAACTGTGATTTCCCGCCCTTGCCTTCAATCGACCAAGTGTCAGCTCTTCTTAAATCCATACCCATGTAGTTAAAACAGAGGTGGTACGGTCATCACTCCTGACCCTGGGAGCCTGTGCCACCATGTCACTTGGCACGAGACTGAGGAGGGAGAAGCCAAAAGGGGAGATGGCTTTCTGTCCCTGTGGCTTCTCAAGGAGCCAACGAGATGCTGTGAGCCCCAAAGGGAGACACCAGGATGGGACTAAAGGCTTCGCCAGGTTTCCGGTTTAGAGTCCTCTCAATCAACTGTCCCTTTCTTGAACTTAACACCTCCTCTCCCTCCCTTCTGCCAGGTTAGAAAAAGGCGACTAGGTTCCGCATGTGCACTGACCACGGTAGCCTTAGCTGGTCACTCACGGAGCACAACAGGTTTATAACAACTCATCCGCCACACCAACCGCTTGGCTGACAGAGTCCGCACTGAATTGTTTCATCACCTTGTAAAGTGGAATACATTCAGCTTTACTATACACCGGCTGTCAGAACATAATAAACAAAACCTGAACAAGCGGCCCTTCGCTCTCTGCCCACATTTCTGGCCATCTGACTCTTTATGAGGCAACTCTTCACAGAACACATGGATTCCCCAGGGGGAGCATGTGGCTCTGGCCTGCAGGGGCTGGCACGGGGCTGGCCACCAGGAACAGCAGGGGTGTGGCTAGACACGGGTTGGTTGAGAATGGTCTGGGGCCGCGGAGGGGGGTGCGGTTCTGAGGGTGACTTTGAAACTGTGAAGTGCTATACAAATGCCAGGTGGTATTTTTATTTGTGCCACCCACGGCTTGGAAACACAGGGAGAGAAAAGGCTGGGGATGGCTTGGGTCTGTTTAGCGGGGCCGTCTGAAAGCGCAGTGGGCTCACATTGCTTGCGGCTTGGAGTTTGCTTTGTGCAGTGGCGTGTCCCTAGAGGGTGTGGCGTTAGTCATCAACCCTTTGTGCCTGGTGCTCAGGTCCTGCTGAGGGACAGAGGGAGAATGAGACACTGGCTCTGACGGCAAGGGCTTATTCTTCAGGTGGGGCGAAAAGATGGAGCTACATGAGACTTTGATAATCCGAACAAATTGAAATTAAATTAAGATCAGGCCAGAGAAGGTCTGGCTTTAGTGGAAAGTTGATTTTTCTTCAAAGGTAAAAACTTTCCGGGCTAAATGACAAAGGGATTATTATGCAAACCGTGCCCTCAAATCCCAATGTGCAGATCAGGAATGATGGCAGGTCAGCTGTAGAGTAGAGCCCTCCCCGGGAATACATGTGACGGCTTCTTCTTTTCCCGGTTTCCCTTTCTACTCCTCTTATTGGCAACTGAGGTCTCCATCTCCCGTCTCCAGGAGAGGGTGGAGGTGGTGGTTGGGGTGGGGCCAGAAGAAGAGACAAAGGAGGTAAAGGACAAAGTTCTCGTGTCTGGTGTGGCTGCCATCTAGCCTGGGCTGTGAGCTCTAAGCCCGAATGGACTCTGGTGCGTCCTTCTAGTTCATTGGTGACCCTGTGTCTCTGGGGACACCTCTTGCAGCCCCATCAATGAGAGTGACTTCTCCACTCTGGCTGTGCCTGCTTCTTCCTGGGCTGTGCCCTGTGGTTTGGTGACCCCCTGCGGTCTGCCTTCTTCCACAGGTCACAGGATGACCCTGTGCTGGCCTTCACGGAAGATGCTTACAATTGGTCCACTGGGAATACTTAGGCCTGACAAAGCAGGAAGTGGGATTTGTCTGGCAGCCAGGCTCCTTAATCAGCTGACACAGACATCACTGACTTTCTAGGTTGAAATCAGACTCCCATCTCTGGGCTTCAAGTGTCAGGGGCACTTGCCAGGCTCTTCAAGGGACCATAGGATCTGCTCTCTACTAGGGTTGAGGAGAGAGCTAGGCACCCTCTTCCTCTCTTCCTCCTCTTCCTTCTGGGGATGGGGCATGGTGAGACTAACAGCTCTCAACAGCTTCCTCCATAAAGCTTCACCAAGTCTCTCCAGCTGTGGTCTTCTGCTCTTTGGACAGGGTCTGGGACCCTCTCACAGGCTTTTCACTCCTTCCCTTAATGGTTACTTGGTTTGGAACCGGCTTTTGCATCTGAGTGCTCTTCTGAACACTGACAGAAAGCTCTTGCACATGTAAGAGACTTGGGGGCAACACCAGGAGTTTCCTAACACATAGTTTCTGAGGGAAAAATAAGTCCTACACCTAAGTGAGAGTCATTGCCAGAGGCAAAGGAGGCCCTTAGGAGAGAGGCTTCTGTGGGAAGCATGCTTAGCTGGGTGTGCTTTAGCCGGTGAACATGGAGCTGCTATGAGAAAACACCACGGGACAATAGAACTGGACGCCTCTTGTGCCACCCCCTGTTTGGCCAAGTTCTAGGCCCTACTTCTGAGTTGCAATAGTAGAAAGAAATCATTTTATAAAAAGACCCAAATCCCACCTGTCCGTGCCTCACCCCGTAGCACAGAGCCCACATCCCAGGCCACAGTAGCTAGATGGGAAAGGCCACTTCTTAGAACTGCCTTTGATAGGGTCACAGCTACACGCT